AAAGGCGAGCCGTGTAGTTTTGGTGGCGTTACCATTAACATGATATTCCACACCACAGTTAACAAGAGATTAGAGCCAATTTCCATATCAGCTGTGAAAATGTACTTTTCTCTCGTCATGCTATAGAAATTAATGTGTCCTAGAAAATCTACCATTTTCTAAAATAATAAAAAAAGAGGTAACGATTGAAAGCTACTGACATTCTTGCTTCATTTGTAACACTTTTAACGCAATCACGCCTCACTTAACAATTGGGTTCCGTTCTAGTGACGTGGTCGCTAAACGAGCTGTACCGGACCGATATTTCATGTGCACTACGCCATGTAATGCATTTGTCGTAACCAGTTTCATATAGTTTTAATGTCACCTTTTTTCTCCTTTTCTAATTTATTTCTAAAAGTTTATAGAGTAGAGTAAATGCAATTAATAGGTTCGAAAATCAGTTTTATATTCTTTATGAGACTTCCATTTTGCCAAAGTAAAGTTTTATTTCTTTATTTATTTTTGCATTTTATTTAAATAGATTTCTTTGTGAGAAAGGGGAAAAAACCAGGATCGATTTTTTACGTAAAATAACGACTGATCCTGGGTAAGAAGATAAACTACCTCAGACAGCAAGGCCCCTAATCAAGGGGTTTTAAGGAGCATAGAACCACTTCTTAATTACTGCTGTTCTCAGATCCACTCTGACCCGGGATTATAGCACCTGTTAATGTCCCAACTATGGTCAAATACTTAAACGTGAAACCCTATAAAAGTATAAAAATAGATTTTCACAGTAAAAAAAAAAAAAATAAGTAAATACAAATAATATCTTTTTATAAAAAAATAAAAATATTACCATCAATACATTTTTCGCAAAACATAAATAATAAATAAATAAACTATTATCAGCAATGAAATTTACAATAATAAAATTAACAGCAATGCATTTCTGGAAAAAAATTCCCCAACCATACATTGTTTTTGTAAAAGCTCCCACAAAAATTAAATTTCAGCATTAAATGACCCATGAGGTGTTGATGTGCCGCTAAACAAATTATTTTCTTTTTGTTTTATGAAATCATATAGATGGTCTTAAGTTTGCAGTAGAGCTAAAAAATGTAAGTTTCGCTGCATTGTATAAATTTCAAATATTTTTTTGTTGGAAATAAAATTAGAATATAGATTTTTTTTTTCTAAGAAATCAACATATTTTAATGATTTTACAAAATATATTTTCAAAATATAAATCTACATGCGTTGTTTTTATCTACCTATTTCGTGAGTATTTTTGAGATGAGGAAATATAATTATATTTAATAAATCATTATTGTTTATTATATTTGTTTATAGTTGTCACGAAAAAGTAAATGTTTAAATTAGTTTCCTTAATTAAGTTTTTATTACAATGCCAATCATGGCATCTTAAAACAATAAAAAATTGCGCAAGATTGAAGGTAGGTTAAAATAATAATGGCGTCAATAAAAAAAAAAAAAAAACATGTTTCATTTTGCGGGCATGAGGCTTCAACTTTGCTGGATTTTATTATATGAATAATTAACATCATTGTACGTTTTTCTATCCCGACCAACGTCTCCTTATGGTTGTTACACTTCAGTAGTTATACTTTGCGACCCTTCCTCCGGTCTCTGTCTTCGTATATGTCCTGTTAATTGAACCAGCATTGGTTATTATACTGATGACCTTTCGGCTGTTGTGACTTCCGGCCATCTTTCTTCTATTGGAAAATCTAGTTTTGAAATTATGAAGCTTTAAAGCTGAAGACTCTACTCTGGTGTTAAGACTGTATGATTGTCCACTTAATACTTTGAAGTATCCTTACTTTCTTAATCAGATTTTCCCAGATGATATTAATCGCTATGCTTGTTCGACTAAGGAGGTTGTCAGAGTCCAACATGTTCGCTGATTAATTCCTTCATCTTCTTTCCCAGAGCTGTTCTCTATATGTCATCTTGGCTTTGTTCCACAGGGTTAGAATTTCACCATTTTCATTCTATATATGATCGTAGCCGAGTAATTAGAACGTTCGTTTTTTGAGGCCCGGTTTCGAATCTCAACAGGGTCCGTTAGCCAGGAAAGTGACTTCTTGATGTTAGCTGTTTCGGATAGACGACCTCAGCGTATGGCACCTGTGGAAAGTGCCTGAAAACCATACAACGGATTGATCCAAGTCTTTTAGTGTAATTCGGAAGTCGGATCACTTTGGGGAGCAGCCGAAGGTTCTGCTAGCCATCGTGATCGAGGGTTTGAGTTCTCCATGTTGTCGGTCTGAGGGAAGCGATCCAAGCGTGCGGCACCTATGGAAAGTGCTCGAAGACCATACTACTGGTTGGCTCAAGATTTGTGAGTGAAATGGCGTAGACAGAACTATTCGGAAACCATCGATTCACGACGTCACGAATCAGCGTTTTTCAGCATACTGGACTTGTTCAGACTTTTCACAACTCCAGCTAATGCAATATCTATCTATCTATCTCAGAAACTCTACAGTGGCCTAAGAAAATTTTTTAGCCAGGAGAAATAAATTATATCCAATTTCAAAATTTGACTGCATAATCCCTACTCAACCCCCCCACCAAAAAAAAAGCAGTATTTGAAACTAGTATAGAGTAGGTCCTCCATTTGCTAGTTTCAGTGCTTGTATTTTATTGTTAATGGATTTAATCAAGTTATCAACAATCGTCCTATGCATATTTTGCCACTCCTTTAGCAATTATACTTTAAGGGTTGCCACTGACTTTATTTTCGTTGCCCGCTCTCGAAATGTTCGGTGAAGATGGTCCCAAACGTGATCTATTGGATCCATGTCAGGACCTTGGGCTACCCATCGCAGTGACTTCATTCCTTGCGATTCGTTGAGTCCTTTGCTACCTTGTTCGTATGACATGGCGCTCCATTTCAATGAAAAGGGTATGCATTCTTGTCAATCTGATTGGTTTAAATAGTGTGAGTATTATTTTCTTTAATATTTGACAGTATATATTATTATTTAATATTTGACCATTTAACCGCTTGTCAACAAGAATCAGTTCAGATTTCCCTCCGAACCAGACAGCGCCGAACACCATTACTCCAATCGCTCCGTGTTACAGGGTCGCCTGCAGACATTCAGTGTTCCAAGTTTCATTCTGATTTCTCCAAACATAAACCTGTCTCGAATTCGAATATTGGCAGAATTTACTTTCATCCCTACAAATTACAGTCTGCCAATTTTTTTAATCTTTGCTCTCGAATTCTCTCACCCAGTCTATTACGTCTGTTCTTGTTAACCGCTGAAATCAATTGCTTCTTTCTTCATTGATAGCGTAGCTCTTTCAGAGACTTTCTCACTGCATATAGCGATATTTCCATTATGTTGACGACATCTTTGACGCTCTGACACCGGTTTCTGACTTCAGCGTCTTTTTCATTCGCTCAAACACGACAATGGCCTTTTTCATTAAATGTCTTGACAATATTATTAACCGTTTGATGATTAACGTGGAAAAGCCTAGAAATATCTTTATATTGCCTTGCCACACCGATGCCATCCTATTATTTGCCCTCGTTGGAATTCACCAGTTTTCTTACTTCCACGGACGTTCATTGTAAAATATATCAACTATCGTTCATGGATTAGCATAGCTTGATACCAACATGGTATTGTCAGAAAAAATGAAGATATGTTATTAAACAAGCCTAAATTGCAGTAATTAAGGATGGCTAAAAACGTATAGCCCATTGTAACTAAGTTCCGCTAGAATAGTTGCAGCTCTTGAGGGAACCGTCGACGGTTCTACTAGTACAAAGTCACAAGTCATCGTGACCGATTGTTTGAGCGTAATTGTCTTGTCCATTGTGTTGAGATTATACGCTCTCTCCCGGAAACTATCATTAAAGTCCGCCCAGCATAGTTGCCGTACAAATCACAGGTGTGGGTTTGTAGGCGTTGAACAAACACAAATGTCCGTGAACAGGCATCGGCAACAGGTATTATCTAACCGCACTAGTAGACGGGCATCCTCGGATACGAGTGGCCAACGATGCCTTATTTTATGGTCTCTCTCCAGACAGCTTTTCAAAGTTCCACAATCCGTAAATGTTTGTTTATTTGCTGCTTTTAGAAATATAACATTTAAAAAATAATCTCTTAGGCGTTTAGAACGTAAATGGGAAAATAGCGATATGAAATGGAATTGTTTGTGTTTCTGACGCGTTAGGTTAGCGTAGAGGTTAAGGAAATAATAATAAGAATTGTGAAAAGTGACATTAATATAACTCGTGATAATAATACCAGAATGAGGCATGCCAGGGAAATAAGATGATTCAACTGGAGATATGTCAGACCAGACGGATGTCGGTTTGAATAAATATAATCTCATTTGGCATTCAAGATTTCTATTCATGATTTTTATCTAAAATAAAAGTACCTGATGACATATAACTCCTTCTACTCAGTGCTTAGGGATTTAAGATTTCTTATGATGAATTAAGATGTCCTACATTACATATCCCATTCATTACGAAAAACTTGTATGTCTGTTGCCTGATCATAACCTGTTGGACGTTCTTCGAGTTACAAACGAACTGTATATAATGACAGAAGATATGGAGAATCATTATAGCCGGGAGTCACTAGGGTTGCTTTTTTTTTTTTTTAGTTCAGTTTGAATGTTAATATTTAACAGCAGGAAGGATGATTGTGGCACAAGGCCAGGTTTACCGTGGGTTCTCCGAGCCCGTAGACTTAGCCAAAAATATTCCCTTAGAACCCGCATAAACGGACGAAACGTTGCCCCTCGGCAAAGCCTCGTCCGGGTTACTCTTTGCTCAAGGCAGAGTTCGACAGCTGAACAGGCTTTTGCACTCTTCACTTTGAATGATGAGACAAATATGAATTGGGAGTCATAACTGGGAAAAACCTCAATCAGAGACCGTTTGAAGTAACTGGGTTACCGGACTTGAATTTATTTAAAACGATGCCCCACTTGAAAGTAAAGACCTTCAGACACATCACATTGAAACACCTGTTCTCGTACGATCATCGAAGTTAAGCAGCATCGAGCCTGGTCAGTACCTAGATGGGTGAGCACTTGGGAATACCAGGTGCTGTAAGTTGTCGATGTGCGGTTTGTGTGATGGATAATGCCGCGGAATTTTTAATTGGACAGTTGAGTTCTAATTCCAGATGGGTTCTTTATATTCACTTAGGCGCAGATACTATTAGGAAAGTTATAAATCAGTTACTTCTCCCCTGGTTATGGGTTAATTAGTGAAAGTTTTAACACGAAAACCATTATTGTTTTAAGAAAAAAATGAGTACAAAGTATTTAGATTTCGGCATTAAATAATCCATAGAGTTTGATATGAATCTAAACAAATAAACTGACAATCATCTTTCAAGTCTATACGTTGTTTTTAACAAACAAATTTCTCCTCACATTAAGCCCATTTCGTTATCATACTTGTGTCTGGTGTAGAGTTAAAAAAAAAAACACATTGTGTCTTGATTAGTGTACTTGGTTTCATAGACTTAAACTCCATCGTCACTCTGTTGAATCAAGAAAAGTCACAGGTATATATTCGAGATCTTATGATCTTGTAAATCATGCGGTCACAGGTGTGCTCGTTAAAGCAATTTAAATATAAATGATACACGGGTGGTTTAATGGATAGCGTTTCGGAATAAGAAATAGGAGTGCCGAGTTTGGATTCTACGTATGCGCATGTACCCTTGAAAAAGGTATGAATCCAATTCATCTCACCAGCTAGAGGTCAAATAGTAGGGCTTTTATCTGAAAAAAAATCATTGTTATTACATAAAATTAATAATGCGTTTATCAATCGTCCTGACCTAAAATAATTATTCGTATAACCCAAACGGGTGTTTCGGTTTAAAAAGTTACAAAATGCGTGGATAAGCTGTAAAAATAAACAAATCAGTCAAACCAATCTTAAAATAATGGAAAGCAAATATTTATGACGGGGATAGCTGTGGATATATTGAGATTATCTCAGCCCTTTCAGTCCTGGGCTCCCGGAGAATACAGAGCATAATTACCAGAGCGTACAGATTCAAAAGGTTTTGTTAGAAAAAAGAATTACTATGAGTACAAGCTTTGATATTTCAACCATGGCAGTTTCGTTGTAACACTTACGTTTCTGTCAATGTAGCGTCCATCTTGATTCAGGCGTCTCGCGTTCTACTCAGCAACTTGGAATTTGAGCTTCACCAATTATCCAAATTGCGACGGCAGGTTTTCTCATTCTGCTTTCATATCAGTAATCAGCACTCTTATTCAAATTTGGGTCTCTTGTTCGTTTCTGCCACCGAACCCGCGTATGAGAATTTTCAGCAATTTGAAATGCAAATCATAGGCGCCACATTGATGAGAACACAGGATCTGAGAATGGTTATCAAGTAATGGAAGACGTGCCAAAATGTGGATGCTGTTGGCAGCGGACGGCAGGGTACTATTGAAAGAATGATAAATATGTAAGTACGGGGACATCGTCCAAGGGCTAAGAACATTTTAGCACAAGATTATGGTTGTGTTTATAACGCAGTAGGCAGCTTTAGAGGAATCAAGAACCCGTGTACAAGATTAGACATTCTATCAATTGCATACCTGGTACTTGCTACGATACTGAGGAATGTGCCGGAAATTTGAGGAAATTACTGTCATAAAATGTCAGGTCATAATTTCCAGACCTATGGTCGGTATATGAAAATGCATGAAATAATATTAAGAAAATTTGATTTATTTCATGTATTTGTTTAACGACATATAAACTCCTTTATGGGTCATTTAATGTCTAAATTTAATTTTCTTAGTTTTGAAATAAAAAAAAATACGATATACGTTATTCTGCTTTCAAAACTGAATACATGGTAGATAAATCACTGTTTTTTTCATATTCAGGTTTATGTGGCTATAATTACTAAGGGCGGCGATAAGTGGTTTATTTTGTAGTTTTATTGAAGTTATATTTTAGAAGACAGTGTGATTACTTTAAAAAAATTGTAGTATACTATATGAATTAAAGCCATTTGTTTCATAATGTTTGTTTGGTTGTATAATATATATTATTTTGGGAAATTTTTATATAAATATATATTGCGAGTAATCTCTTTATACAACTATAATGTATTGCTACAAAGATCTACTTCTACGCATTCATAGTGTTTTTTTTTTTTTTTTGTTTTGAGGACACTCACTATTTGCCCATAGCTAGTCCCGTAACAGGTGCTACCACCCCGAGTCAGGATGGACTTTGGGAAAAAAGTAATTCAAAACTCTAATTTCCCGATCAGAGTGCTTCCTGTTGCATGTAGTTTATCGTCGTACCCAGAGAAGAAGAAAAAGAAATGTTCATTTGAATAAAGATCATTTGTCGGTCTTCTGAAAGTACACGCCGAATATTTTGCATTGCACCAGAAAAAAGTAATAAAACTACAGGCTGAAAAAGTCGCTGTTTTATGTAGTGTTAGCTTTTTTAAACTAATTTACTGCATACGTGTCGCTTGTGTTTTCCTTATGGATTCTTGGGGGGGGAGGGTCATTTGAAGGCGCGTGTCGGTCTTCTAATAATGCCATTGGTTATCAGAACTTTTGTTAATGCTTGAAAGGGAAAAAAAATCAATCCTTTTTTATTTAGTACAGAACGATTATAAGTCGAAATAATTGAATTGATAAGAGAATCCACTGGAATGTATGTCACAAAGATGGATTCAGTGTAAAAGAAGTGTCCAGATGGAGAAAAAAACATTAAGATATTACAGTACAGAGGGATTGTGTTATTGAAACACTAAAACCTGACTTCGTTGTTATAGATAAGGAGAATAGCAAGTGACAAATTATTGACTTTGCTGTTCCATATTTGGGTTAACCCACTTGACTTTCCTAAATAACGTCACTAGGGGACGCTTCTTACACTAAGAAATAGGTAATGATATTCTCACTTATTCCCTTTCCTCTGTTATAACCCTGGCTATAAGATGTACTTGTAAGTGGGGGAAAATGTCCACCTATGTGGCAGGTTCACTTTCAGTATCTTTTCTGTCCTGACACTTTGTAGTCTTTCAAGCTCATGTTTATCACGTAGGCCGACACAAATTTCACAAACATATATTGTCTTATATAAACGCTTTATGCAACTAGTCTTTACATATTTTCTTCGTTTATTGCCGTTTGTCTTTATATATTCATATGTTTTATATTGTTTCGTTTTACTCTTTTACTGCTCGTATTTATTTACGAGTCTACAATAACATTTACGGGGAAAATGATACAAAGACATTTTTTCTACATAAATCCAACAAGCATTCCCGCAACACACGATATAAGAGGGGACTCCATAGAAACTACAAAAGTAGATAAATAGCAAGATTTGGCTAGGGAACTTGGATATACAACTAAATTCTTTCGTACTGATGATTTTCTTAGAGTAGCTTAGATGTGGCCCAAGGCCGAGAGTATGGGACACCAAGTGAGTGTCGAACTCATTACCCACTTGTATATATCCAGCGAGACAAGCTTGTTAACCATTACACCACGTGAAAGTGCCCTAAATCCTGTAGTAATATGTGCGCTTGGGACACTGTCTAAAAAGTAATCGCTTATGAAGAATTTGAATTGAGACCAATATTTTAGACCTTCAGAAAACTGGCACCACTTTGCACTGCGAGGATTCTGCGAAATGTTCTTGAGTTGTGAGGATTCTTGTTGATATCATACTTCAAGAAAAGAATTTCCATAGACTACGTCATTATGCGACACTAATATAATAATGGTAATCAGAAATAAAAAGGATTGATTTTTCCTTCGAATAGTAATTGAAGTACTGATAACAAATGACATTATGAGAAGACCGTCATATGGCTTTTACTCATATGAACTCCAGGAAAGCCAGCAGAGAATCAAAAGCGAAAAATATGCAGTAAATTACTTTAGAATACTAACGCTAATTTAGAAAGCGACTTTTCAGCCTGTAGATTGACTTCCTTTTTTGGTGTGATGTAAGAGAGGTAATTAGACGCTCTGGGAGGTTGGGTGACTGCGAACTGAGGTGTCTATGGAAATTGGTGTATTCTTTTATCTAAAACTTCGTTATTGACGCCGTTATCAATAAAGAAAAGAGAAAATGAAAATAGGACACCATTGAATATAAATCGGAATCGAAGAAAACTTGAAGACCAAAAATGGTTACGGAACTAAAAACTAAAATAACATCGATGATAATAATGAGTGGCAGAAGCAAACGAGGAAGTGAAGAGAATAAGAGAGAAAGTATAAATATTTATAAGGTCAACAATGGATACATTCATGGAAACACTAATTATAATAACAATAACATTTTTTTTTTATAATAACAATTTTTGTTATCGTGACTTTTATCAAGAAGAAATTTTGGAGAATAATGGAAGTTATATCAGGAGAAAGAGTTTGTCTTCTTCTTCCGCCTTACGATTTTTCTTCTTCCGCCGCCTTATGAATCTTCTACTTCTTCCGCCTTACGATCCTTCTTCTTCCGCCTTACGATCCTTCTTCTTCCGCCTTATGATCCTTCTTCTTCTGCCTTATGATCCTTCTTCTTCCGCCTTATGATCCTTCTTCTTCCGCCTTATCATTCTTCTTTTTTCTTCTTCCGCCTCATGATTCTCCTTTTTCCTCTTCCGCCTAATGATTCTCCTTCCTCTTCTGCCTTGTGATTCTTCTTTTTTTTTCGTCTTCTGCCTTGTGATTCTTCTTTCGCCTTATGATTCTTCCTTATCTTCTTCCGCCTTATGTTTCTTCTTCTTCTGCTTCATGGTTATTTTGCTACTTTTTTACACATTTCATTCTCATTGTTCATCCTCAATTTTATTCGTTTCCTTCTTTTCCTGCATTCTTATAATTTTTTTCAACTCCTTCTACACTTTTCATTCCTATTTTCCGTCCTCATTTTTATTCGTTTTCTCCTCCCAATACACCTCCTCTCTCCACTCTTCTTCTGGTGTTCCTGCTATTTTAGGATTTTTTAGCTTCTTCTTCCACACTTTTCATTCCTATTTTCCTTCATCATTTTCCTCGGTTTCTCCTCCTCCTCCTCTTTTCTGCATTCTCATGATCCTTTTAGCTTATTCTTCATTTTCAATTCCTATTATACTTCCTCATTATGCTTCTTCTTCTTCTTTTTAGCCTCTAGTTACATGATTGATAAAAAGCTTCTGTGTTGTTTCATATTAAGAAATACAAAAGCAGAAAAATGAAGTGTCATCCTCTCTGGTTTTGCAAGCTGTGATAATAGTGCATTCTTATGCTCACACGATAGATCCGGTGAATATTGCTAACGACTTAATGAAAGAAAATCTCCTTTAGTTAATATCGTTTTTTTTAGTAACTTTTAAAGATAGGGACATTGAAATACATTGTCGTTTCTAATGATTGTACAGGGTTTTAAATGCAATATGCAATTCGCGCAAAGAACGGACAGTGTAACGCTTACCGTTGTTAAAAATGAAACGCTCTTTAGATATTCTTACTGGTCAGTTTCATTCACGTCGTGGTGAAAGCTATGGAAATGGTAGTAATCCATTTTTTTACAGCGATAAGTTAAAAGACAGGGCTTATAAGACAATCTAGCTCTGAGTGGCAACCAGTCTAACAGAATGAAAACTCAAAAAACCTAAAAAGGCATGCACTCCATCAAGATGCGATATGTGGTGATCTTTTAACACTATCGTTTTATGAGACTCAGGATTGTGAAGGGCTACGCTATATATATATATATATATATATATATATATATATATATATTATATGCCACTAAATTTCGCGCTCAAACAATTTTTTTTCAATTTTGCTTAGTTTTAACAAGAGGGCTGCTGAACCGTTATGTAATCTTAGCCCTCTTATATGAGAATGAAGTCTGGGCAATTTTCCCACAGTATAAAGAATAAACATTAGGATACAAAAATGTGGTTCTACAGGAGGATTTTGGGAATATCACAGACGGAGAACGTAAGCAACGAGGATGTTGTAAAAATGGAAACAAAAAGGGCAATTATCTATACAATCAAAAAGCAACAGTTACAATTTCTTGGGTGCCTAATGAGAAAAGATGCGTCTGGAAAATATTGAAGATAAGGGTGACAGCATAGCAGTTAGCAACCTGAACAAAGGGAGTATTCAAACAAATGCAAAAGTGAGAATGGGGGAAAATTTGAAAGGAAAAAATTATCAAGGAAAGGAAGATGTGGAGAGTGATGTTCATCCACGTCCTGAATGGACATGGTACAGAGAAAAATAATTCAAGATATTTATTCAGCCAAGTGGGCTGACGATTTCATTCAGGCATGAAAAAGACCGCCGATATACATATATGGGCATAAAAATCAACTGTCAGATTCACGCCACTGCGGTCTTCACAGCAACAAGTTCACGTCCCCACTGCCTATATATCTTTCAAAATATATATATATATCTTTCAAATATATATATATATATATATATATATATATATATATATATACATATATATATATATATATATATATATATATATATATATATATAAATGTGGACACTTAGGCAAATACCATGGCGATATACACTGTTCCATGCTTCAAAACGATCTTCAGGCCATCTGTGTTATATATTGGCTCATCATTTATATATACTGGTCAGTAGTGCATCATGGATGGAAGGTCTATTGTACATAATGTCCCACAGATCATCATATATAAATAGCCAACCCAAAACACAACGCACATGGCCCGTAAGTTGGACGAAACCGACTGTAGCCTCTCTTTGTTTACCTCCGTGTACATTTTATATTCGCATAGGCTCTGTCTATTGATCAGTTCTATCCATAACAAGAGCAAACCTTTAAATATATTTTATCACGCACACTAAAGAAAAAAGTGTGCAAGACAATAAGAAACACTACCTGTCAAAAAAAGTGAAGTTTTGCTGAAACCTTTTGAAAAATGTAGGAAATCCGATCCCATATATAAAGGAACACACACACCCACGCACAAACAACCTGGGTTTTATACTAAGTATAACTCAATATGAGTTGTCACCCTTTCAACCTCGTGATGCCTCTTAATCGTGTTTTCCAACTGATTTTGTGCACGAACAATTGTTTTTTCCAATTTTTGGCGCTGTCAGAACCATCGCAAGGTAATTTTACGTAGTCTTTTGAAGTTTTGTTGAAATCGGTTGACCTTTTTATAATAAGCCTGAGTTAGTCACCCCTGATTTCCGAAAATGGTTAGTCTCCTGGTGTGTTTGCAAAACTGTTTAATAATACAAAACTGTAATGTTAGAATAATGTAAACTTTTGTCGTGCTGCCGAAAAACAACACGAAATATCCGTTATAATAAATATTAAATCAATATTTAACTGAGGATACAATATATGTGTTGTAAATTGTAGTTTAAGCAACACCAATGCAATAATAGAGAAAATATTTATTCGTCCAAAATAGGCACAATATCTTTCCATGAATAAAATAATATTACATTAGCTAAACTTATAAATAGAGGGCATGAAGCGCTGGGGTGATAGGACACCCCTAAAAGACAAATTGACGTCGGCCTCTAATAAAATTTTAGATACAACTGCGCCAACCAGCTTGCTACGCACCCTCAGCAAGTTAGGAGAGTGTTGGGAGGGACCAAAAGTAAAAACAGCCAGCGAGGAATTAGGAGTAATTATAAAAATATAGTTTAACAATACACCCAATGTGTCTATCGCCGGGTTAATAATAATGTGTTGACAAAAAAAAAAAAGTAAAGAAAATTTGAGCTTTTCTCACCAGATGAGGCATTCAGTCTCTTTCTCAACGTGCTTTCTTCTTTTGGTTCTTATTTTAAGGCAGGTTTTGGCTTCTGTTCATACAAACGTTTTATATGATGTAAATCAAGTTGTTCGCTCACTTTACTTTCTTTCCCCTTCGCATGAGATGCCTGCTGTGTATCGCTGGAGACTTAGAACATGTCAGTGAGAATCTGCAGCACTTACCACTTTATACCCTAAGGCATTCTGCAACATTGTG